GTGTCACCAGGCACTGTTAGTGAATCCTAACATCGAGCTAGCGTCCATCACAGGACCTATCAGTCTTTCCTACAGCTGTTGAGCTCGCTCACTTTTTCTGTATAAGTGCAGCTAGCGTATCCATGTGAATGCTATACAGAAGTCTGAACAAATCACATTTTTCCTCACGTTCTTCTGGATATTTTCCTCCATGTTGATGGCTAGAAGTTATTGAAGTGCACCCCATTCTAAAGTAAGTTTTCAATTTTCTTTTTTTCAACTACTGAGGAATTTTGTCTTTTATAAAATCCCTGTAAGCCACGTCATATCATATCCATACCACTCCATTAAATACTTGATGCGCACACACACACACAGAGAAACATGTATGTCTCAAGACATTCTTTAACCAAAACAGCATGTGCTCCTGGGTATTTTCACACGCAGCAACAACGGGGCTACTCTGAACAGGTCGATGAGTCTCATACGTAACAAAGAGTAAGGCTGGATTTGTCTGTATTAACGTTCTTGTTAATGGATATCTCCTTAAAAGCTAATATGTATTATTTGCCAATAAATCTAAGAATAACCATAATTTGTAGATAATATGTTCAATATAGCTTTTTATATTTCTGTTCAAGAAATGATAATAATGCATACTTTCAAGTAGCTGTTAACAGATTAGAAATATAGTTCTTCAAAATTCATTTGAAATATGTAAAAATTATAAACATTACAGAAGATATTATATTATTCTAGTGAAAGTAATTTTCAAGAAAGAACATATAAAATTGTGAATAGGGAAAGAGCAGCTATATATAGCTATGTGTATACATATACCCATACATTTGACATACATTTGAAGATTTATGATCCAAATTTACTTACATGAAAACTTGTCATCACTAATGACATTGTTTTATACATCATAGTAAGTCACTTTTTTCTATTTATCAAAAGTAATTCCAACATATTAAAATACTTTTAACATAATTCATTAATTTTTATACCCTAAATTACATTAATGGAGTTTATATTCTATCCTCTCATTTTTAACTATATTCATAGTGTTCAACAACAAGAACAGATTGACAGCTGAAAATTCAAATTTCCACGTACTGATTGACTCTCAAGGACAAAGACTGACAACACACAAGATCAATGGGCAAGAGCTACTTTTTAGAAAGGCCATGGAAAGTTAAATGGCATCAATATTCAATTATCTAATCATTGCAAACAATCTGTACTTGGGCAAAAACTTTTCTCCTGTTTCTTTTTCTATTTCTCATACAATTATCTTAGTTTTCCCAGGACTTGACATACAAATGTCCTTTTCTCCGCTTTACTTTGCTGAATCCATTTCATGCATCCCGTAGTTAACTCGTTTAAGTTTTATGGTATTAGTTGGGTTTCGTTTGCAAGTAACTGAAAATCAAACATAAGTTGACTAAAGAAAAAAAAAGAAAATGTACTGACTCATATACATGGCTAATTCAGTAGATTTGGCTTCAGACAGGCTTCTATTTAGGCATCAAATGATACAGACAAGAATCAGTCGCTATCTCACATTCTCTTTCTCCACATCATTTATCCTTTCCTTGTTTGGGCTCCGTTTTCAGATAGTATACTCTCAAGGTCCCAAAAAGGCTACCGAAAGATCCCAGGGCCACATGCTTTCTTGTTCAGCTCTGTTGTTAAAGTTAGTCATTACTCATACATAGTCTAGAAATCTGACTGTTTGGTCAGACTTAGATCATCCTTGAATCAAGCATCATTATTACATTTGATGTGATATGCCAATGGACTTGAGCCAATCAGGATCCACTTCTATAGCTTTAAGATATGGTCAAACCTACTCATACTATATTGCTGGGAAATGTTGGCTACAGTTCAAAAAGAGGAAGGGGCAAATATGCTAAAAAAGCAAACATGGCAGGGAAAGTCCACTACATTGTTATTGACTTATTTCTGTTTAAGTGCATAGAAAGGGTTAAATGAGTAAGATAAATAATTAATTTGAAAAGCTACTTTTAATGCACTCCTGTCCAGACTTTTCAGTTAAGATTTTCCTACAGTAAAACTCAAGACTATACTTATAAAATTCAACAGTCAGACATTATAGTATGTTTTGAATTATTTTTTAACCCATAAACTATAAGTATTGCTCTTACTGTTCAAAACTATAGCGCCTCATTCTGTATCCTTTTCAGGTCCTATCCTGATACCTATCACAGTGAGCAACTAATGTACTTCTGTATTTATGAGAAAACTTGAAAGTTAATTATCCTTCAATATCACTAATTATCAGAGAAATGCAAATCAAAACTACAATGAGGTATCATCTCACACCAGTCAGAACAGCCATCATTAAAATGTGCACAAACAGTAAATGCTAGAGAAGGAATGGAGAAAAGAGAACCCTCCTACACTGTTGGTGGGAATGTAATTTGGTGCAGCCACTATGGAGAGCAGTATGGAGATTCCTTAAAAAACTAAAAATAAAGTTACCAAATGATCTAGCAATCCTACTCCTGGGCATATATCAGGAGAAAACTCCCATTCAAATGAATATATGTACCACAATGTTCATAGCAGCACTATTTACAATAGCTGAGACACAGAAGCAACCCATTGACAGATAATTGGATAAAGAAGATGTGGTATATTTATACAATGGACTATTACTCAGCCATAAAAAAGAATGAAATAATGCCCTTTGCAGCAACATGTATGGACCTGGAGATTATTATACTAAGTGAAATAAGTCAGATAGAGAAAGACAGGTATCATATGATATCACTTATATGTGGAATCTAAAAAATGAGACAATGAATTTGTAAACAATGAATTTGTTTACAAAACAGAAAAGACTCACAGACACAGAAAATAAACTTATGATTACCACAGGGGAAAGTAAAAGTGGGGAGGGATAAATTAGGAGTTTGGGATTAGCAGATACAAACTACTATACACAGAATAGATAAACAACAAAGTCCTACTGTGTAGCAAAGGGGATGGTATTCGATACGTTGTAAAAATGGATAATGAAAAAGAATTTGAAAGGGAATATATGTGTATATGTATATACATACATATGAAAAACTAAATCACTATGCTGTACATCAGAAAGGAACACAACACTGTAAATCAACTATACTTCAATAAAAAAAATAGGTTATTATCTTGAATGTATCATGAGTACCACTGTCTAAAACACTGGGGTAGAGTCATTTATCCTACATTTAAGATTAGTTTAAGTGTAATAACTCACTCACACTACTCAATCGGTATTTGGGAAATAAAAATGTAATATTCCAGAGTAAAAAAAAAATGATGAAAGAAGGATCCATTGCAATATGAAATATCTTGATTTAAATATACTTCTGTCTGAAATTTTCTAAAACCAGTAATAATGACTACCTCCATGAGGAAAACTTGATACGGCCGAATTACGTAGAAAGCAGGCCTGTCTTGTCGCTACTTTTGACACTGGTGTTAGGAACAAATTTCAGAATCTATCTCAGTTTTCCCTCTAGCTTCATACATGTTGCTAGCTTACTGCAGAGATACAGCTGCAGAGCACTGTTTTGCTTAGCTGTGCTGTTAGTATGCAGACATTTAACAAATTTGGGGAAAACTGATACAGTTACTTGATAAGGAAGACACTTGCTAACAGAACACTTTACAGTAAAGTACTCAGATAACACATCCTAACTGGATTCTCAGAACAACTGGACATACAAGGACATCAGATGTCCCCCTGCAGATGCAGACATAAGGCTTCCCGCAGGGAGGTGGTGTGAGCCATCCAAGGCAGCTGGCGTGGGGACTGTCAGCTCCCTGGGGGCAGGACTGTGGTCGGAACACATTAGAGGCTCTGAATGTTTGTTTAATCAATCAGTTGATTAAATCTGGACTTAAATCTGGTCTTGCAGATGTCCAGTGCTTTTCTTCTAAGTAAATTATCATTACAGTGCTATTTACATATTTTACCAAATAGAGCCCATGATCGACTTGTGGGGCTTAGAATAGAAGACAGAAAAAAAAAAAAAACTAAACAAAACACAAAGCCCTTCAAGAGCTTCTTCACTCCTGCTTTGAGGACACGAGCAAAGTGTTGTTTTCTGTAGTTCCCACTTTGTTCAATCACTAATCAGTTCACGGGGCTCTCAATCCATAGAACTGTGAAAAGCATATGTCTCTAACAAAGGGCAATTCTGAATGTATTCAGTTATTTTTTTAAGGCCTCTTCAAAACTTTTTCTTTTTTTTATGCTTTTGTTGTCAAGAGAGAAACAGATGAAATAAAACATGGGTAGCTGAGCCTCCAGCTCTGGACTCAAAAACAGAACCTTCAAGTTGAATTTCACAGCGACACGATACAAATTTAACAGTATGTAAAGACAGCCTCTTCCTCAGAAGTCTAATGCTGAGGCTGGAGGCAGAAATAAGATGCAGCTCGTGACTTTCATTCCACCACAGGTAGCTTAACTACTTCAGTTTTATCCTATGTGGTCCAACAAGGCCTGACAAACTGCACTGCAGTACAAGAAGCATCTCTCAGGCAATGATGCGTAAAGACAGAGGGATTTTTTAGTCAATTGCAGGAATTAGGCTTTAATGCTTTCTACTAAGACTTCATACCCCAGATAACTGACTGCGATCCACTGAGTCTTGGCAGGCAACAAGACTGCTGAAGCTGAAACTGAGAGGCTGTGTTAAGCAGATTTTCATGAATGTACAAAATGCTTTATTTGTAAAGCTGCTTTTCTTTGTTGCCATTCAAATGCTTTTCTTCTTTTTGGAATCTCTCAGCTTGGTCAATTTCCAGTCTTTATCAAAACTGCTTTAAAAAAAAAAAGTCCCTTAAAGAGCCATGGAAGAGAAATAAACGCTCACCTCATCAAACATAAATGTTTTCTTAAAAAAGAATAATACTCAACATGACAATCTAAGAGATTAAAAATGATCATGGTCCTTATGAAAATTACAAGACCCACAGACAGACATTAAATACTTTACCGTTACTGGGGAGCTCCAGAGGGGTACAGGCACCACTGCTGGCTCTGTCTTCCCGCAAAGAGATGAGTTTTGCAACGAGAGATGCTGAGATGGGCTGCACGAGGAGAGGGGTGAGGTTTGATCGGTTTTGCCTGAAGTTTCCATCTGTTTTTGAAAGACAAAGAAACAGAGTCCTTCGTAAATGGAAATTAAAAACACCTGAAGAGCAGTTTTTTTCTGTACTGAACTATTTCAATTATGAGTGGTGAGTATTTTAGTTCATTTCTTTATTCCTTATTTACACTCTGTTTACTTATTAAAAAAGATTTGAGGTACCTAATAAAAATTCAGTCCAAATACCATTATGTATCCTAACTAATGATGGCAGATTACATATAGCCATTTACTTCTATTCTTCACTGAAAAGATAACAAAAGGATAAAAAAATATAAGGGCAAGAGAATAGGAGAGACCACAGCAGTAAGATTCCAAAAGTTGGAAGCAGATGCATGTCAACTGATGTAACATCAAGCGTAAGCCAGCAGAGGGGGGACGCTGAAAAGCAACGCAGCTTGTAACAGAACCCAGAAAAGCTTAGGAATTGGTAACACCAGCTACCTACGAAAAAGGCGGGAGAGGAAGGCTAGAAATGGGAGGTTTGACAAAATTCTGATTGGGAAGGAATCTCTCCTCCTGAACCCCTCATTCACCCAGTTAGTGTGAATGATCCCTGCTCTTCCCGCCTTTCCTGCAGCAGAGACTGAAAGTGGGACACTGAGCAGGGAGGTGCCAGACATGGGGAAGGGGGAATCTCTCACTTTAAATGGGATGGTGCTATGACTGCTGAGACTCTTCAGATGTCCTGCTTTGATGGTGCCCAGACTCCTTTCCAGACAGGGCAAAAGAAGATCCACTCATAGTAAGTAGGACCCTATCAACGGACACTATAGAAAAATACTGATAATTTGGAAGTCTACCAATAAAACAACTCACTCAAGACATCCTACATTAATTAACACTCATCAGTCAATACATCCCACCCATATACAGAACTTCAAATCAGATTAATTTTGCCATTCTTAAGTAGGCGCTCTCAGCCAAGGGCAATCCTGGAAAGGCCCGTGTGGAGCAGACCTCGTAAGGATAAAGTGTAGGAGGTCAGGAGGGAGGTCTCCAGAAGACAAAAATAATGGAAATACGAGATGTGTCTTCATGGATTGAGAGAATATTTACAGTAAGTTCAGAGAATTGGCATTTGAAGACGTTCTAGATATACAGAAAAAAAATGAAACATCTACGAAATGAGACAACTATTAGTTTCAAAGGGAGCAAAGAGTCATTCAAGAAAGAAATGTCATCAACGTACACCGTGAATCATATTCACATAGTCATAATAATAGAAATAATGACTTTCGAATACAGAAGTTGGTATCATTCTTTGGGGAAAAAACAGAAAAGGGCAAAAGTCAGGGATGAAGCATGAAAAGAAATTTACAAAAGAAAATCAAATCTGTATCTTTCATAGTGGGTAAGTCAATATAATAGCTGAAAAATGAATTCAACTCAAACACGCTCTTGAGAGGCAAAGAGAAATATAAAACGTAGGTAACAACTAAAAATGTTGAAAGCGATTAAGTGTTTGCCTTTGGGACATAGAGGGGAGGGAGACAGAGGGAAGGCATGGAGAAGGTAGACACGATTTTATAAATTATGCTTTGTAGAAATATCTGTCATCATCTGTAAGTGTGAAAGTATAAAAATTAGATGAAAATTAGGAGAGAGAACAACCACAATAACATAAATAAGAGAAAAATACACACGTACTCACAGTAGAAAGAATGTAGAGAATAAACTAAACTCTGCATAAGGAAAAAACTTTTTATATATATATATATATATTCCATTTTTATATTTATTCTGACTCAGAAAAGGGAATATACCATGGAAAGACTATCAGGCAGCTAAAAATATTTACAAACACAGAGCTGCATTTTTCAGAACTTTTATTAGGGAAAATAATTGCCACAGGTTTTCCAAGAATGTAATTTGATAAAACTGCAGGGGTGCAGAGCTCAAGAATACTGGTATCCAGGCTCCAGGAGGCAGATTATAAATGAGAAAATGTGTTAGGAAGTGTTTCCTTAATTTATCATCAGGAAAACCACAAGATTAAAATGTAACATTTACCTTAGGCTTCTAGCAGCCACAAAGTCATGGCTTTGGGGAAAAAAAAAAAGTAAGATTTAAGCTGAGGATCAGTTTCGTTGTATCAGCACAGTGCTGGTCTCCTAACTTAGTAGCCCTTTCTATAGGGATATATGACAGTGCATTTTGACCACAGTGCAATTCACTGCTTCCTAACCATTTTCATGTCATAGTACGGAGACTGGCTATATTATTTCCAGGTTCCAGAGCAAACTGACAACGTGAGGCTTCTTGTTCAAAAAGTAGGAAGGATTTCCATACGGCAGTAGCAGAGCATTGACTCAAACATGGGTCCTATCGAGTGCGGGCCCTGTGCAACTGTCCGGGTTGAATGCCCATGAATCAGACTCTGCCTGGTTCACGTAGAAGACGCTAGCAGCCATGCAGCCTGCTGAGGCCGACTGAAGGGGATTTTCAGACTGCAGGGAAGTTGCTCTCAGCCACAGTGACCAGCCCTGAGTTGCTGCTGCTCCAGGCAACACCTAGGGCCGTAGTGATGAAAATCTCAAGGCCCAGTCAGTGTGCCTCACTCAGCATCCAGATGGGAGGTCCTGATAGAGCTTTCCCGTCCCCTGGTTCTCCCAGCATGAATTTTCTCCCTCAGCCACTACCTTTGAAACCTAAAGTTTACAGAGGACAATGAAATAGTATTTATGAGAAATGTGCAATCTGTTATCTTGCAGTTTTCCTGGATGTTAGGTCCTGACACGTTACCAACACAAAATCAAACTTCTTAAAATGCTGCATGATTTCGCCTCTCCCCAATTCAAAGACCCCTCACAATCTCAGACCTTTTATTTCCAACTGATTTCCTATCATTCCTCTCTATACATTTTATGCTAAAACTTAATTCTATGATTTATATCCTCATCCTGTTTTTGCTGAAGCCATTCCTTCCACTTTACTTGCTCTTCTCACATATCACGTGTCTGAACGTGTCTGAACTATATACTTTTCCTTTCAAGTCCAACTCATTTTCTACATTCCTCTGATTTCTCTGACACCTTCAGGGTCTATGTGATCTAGCTGCACCTTTTTTTTTCTCCTCTGCAGTGCTTGCCATTTCTAATTCACATTATCACTATGTAAAAACACTTCGGTTTTCCCCTCTAAATTCTAAATTCCTTAAAGAAAAGGACCAAGTTTTCTACATCATTGCATGACACACAATGCCTAGCTCATTACCAAGAACATAAAAGCAGCTCAGTAATAATGGAAGGAGGGAAGGAAAGAAGGAAGGAAGGATGGGTTAACAATTCTTTAAGAAACAGTCTCAATGTCTGTACCTTACTGGATTTCTGAATGCCTAGAAAATGAAGCAGGGGTACAGCCAAAAACAAATTACAATTTATTAATCTTATGTTTGCTGTACATTCGTGCTTTCTCTGCAGTTGTGTACCCTCAAAACCTTCAAAACCTGTACATCGTTATCAACATACTGATTAACTGTGCTCTAAAACTACCTCTTGTGGCGGGGGGGATGTATTCATGTAATAAAATCCTCTCTGAGGTATAGTTATAAGTTAATAAAAAAATCAATAATTATATTCTTTTTTTCTCTAGAATGCTCTGATAAGTATCTGAAACAGTGCCTTTAAAGTTAAACGTGAGAGAACCCTAAACAGTAATTGAACATACACAAATCTTTGAGTTTTCGTACAGCATGACTAATAGACTTGCATTAGTTTTGAAATATCTGAAGTAAGTGGTTCATTAATTTTTCACCTTCAGCTTAATGGAAATTTGATAAACAGTTCACTTCTAACAGAAGATACTAAAGGCAGGACTTTATAGGACACTAACACTAAATTACAGACAAAAGCAGTTTTTTTTTAATTTCATTTTTTTTAATAACTGAGAGAAGAATTTCACTTTCTTATATTATTAAGAAACTTTGAATAAAACCAAACACATGTACCATTTTTAATCAGTTATACTTTAAAACATTTATAAACTATAAGAACCCATTAGATATGAGCTGAAAATCAGGTGGATCATGTGCCTTGTGCAAAGGGTCCCAACCAGAAAATAGCTGACATTACATTTTAGCACTATGACATTCAGATGTAGCATTTATGTCATACCCTGTAAACTGCCTATGTTCGGTAAAGACTGACACCAGCTTTTACTTTAGTAAGTAGGTAGTTCTCTCTTTACTTCATGAACTCTTTGTAATCTAGATAAAGATCCAAATTGATTCATCCCATTCAATAATCCCTGATACAATTCCACAGGCATACAGCAGAAAGAGGAAATAGGATATACAGTGTTCCAAGACTGACTCCACCCCTGACTCGCTGTTTGAAATGTAACACAAATAATTTCATTATGATAAAGACTGTCATCCCATCTACCATAACTGAACAACCAAGGTGACACTGAAGGGTCTTCATTATGTGATCTACTGAAATAAAATCATCCATTAGCTCAGAGGCCTAAAACCTGAACCACAGTGACTGAAATTTAGAAGAAATGGGGTTAAAAATAAGTAAAATTGTTTCTAATTGAACACATTTAACAGGTTTTCATTATGTTTTTTCAAACTGTTGATGCCAACTGCAGTCACATCTGTGTATAAAGAAAACACATTAGCTGCCAGCAATTTTTTGTGTGGCTAGATGGAATTCTTTTAAATGCCATTGAAACGTTTGTGTATACAGCAAATGCCAATTACCCAAGGAGGATCAGGAAAGATAAACCCTCGGTGACCAGAAATCTTATACACTGGGATCCTCAAAAAATTACGGCACTAAGAGGAGAGAGAAGGTAAAGAATGTCCTGATAGATAAAATAAGACGGTCCCAGTGTGGTTCAGTGAGGAGAATGTGCCGCCTTGGGGAGGACAGTATGATGTCCAAACTGAGGTGTATAAGCCAACCCTCGGCACCTGGCTCTGTGTGTGTGTGTCTGTAAATGTGAGAGGCGTGCTACACATGCAGCCATGGACCCTGTACATCCCT